TGTGCTCCTTTTTTTTTTTTTTTTTTTTTTTTTCGGGTACGCTGGCCTCTCCCCGTTGTGGCCCCTCCCGCCGCGGAGCACAGGCTCGGGACGCACAGGCCCAGCGGCCATGGCTCACGGGCCCAGCAGCTCCGCGGCATGTGGGATCTTCTCGGACCGGGGCACGAACCCACGTCCCCCGCATCGGCAGGTGGACCCCCAACCACTGCGCCAGCAGGGAAGCCCATAACTTTAAATATTTATGTTTGGTCACCTTATTAAATTCTTAAATCTACAATATCTTTCTTTCCACCCAACATTTTAGTGTGAAAATTTTTTAACATACAGAAATATTGAAAGGATTTTATATTAACCACCCATATACCTACCACTTAGGCTTTATTATTAATAGTACTAGACTTGCTCTACCAGTTAGTTACCTAACCCTCTGTTCATCCTTCTGTTCATGTATCAGTCTTTTGTTGTTAGTTTTGGTATATTTCCAAGTAAGTTGCAGACCTTTACCATTACTTTAAATACTTATTCAATCACATGATTAATTTAAGTTCTACTAACAGCCTTTTACTTGTTTCCTTTCTTTATGTAATGAACAGACATCTTATTTACAAATAATTTTGGCCTGGTGTGGAGTGAAAATTAATTTCGGAACGAGATGAACATGGTTTTTCAATCCAAATTCTGCCTCCTGCTCATTGTGCAGTTTGTGTGACCTCGTCTGTTTCCATCTTAGAAAAAAAGAAAAGAAACTAAAATCTCTTCCTTAGAGTTGTTTTGAAGATTCAAAATACCTTAAATAATGAACTGTGATGGCAGATGCATAGCATATCTGAGTAAAAAAGCTGCTAATTTCCCCATATTTGTGGCTTTGTGCTTTGTAAAATTTGTATTTATAACTCATTTTCTCTCTCCCTGCTTTCCTCCTTGTTTTCCCTCTCTATTTTTTTTGGAAAGTAAATTTCGAAAGCCATGAACTTATATTAATGACCATGCTACAACAATTTTATTTAAAGTGTAGAATCCTGATATTTCTCTGATATTTTTTTTCTTCTTTTTTGGCTGCATCAGATCTTAGTTGCGGCGCAGGCTCTTTGTTGCAGCGTGCAGGCTTCTCTCTAGTTGTGGCCTGCGGGTTTTCTCTAGTTGTGGTGCGAAGGCTCCAGGGCACATGGGCTCTGCAGTTTGTGGCACGCGTACTCTAGTTGAGGCGCACGAGCTCAGTAGTTGTGGCGCGCGGGTTTAGTTTCTCCGCGGCATGTGGGATCTTAGTTCCCTGACCAGGGATTGAATCCGCATCCCCTGCATTGGAAGGCGGAATCTTTACCACTGGACCACCAGAGAAGTCCCCTCTCTTATTTTTAAAATACACATGCTCTTATGAAAAATATAGTAAAGAAAGTAAAAATGACCTGTCAAATATCACACCTTTGCCAATATTTCCCTTTCAGAGATTCTTAGAAATGGATTTTTAGGTTACCAGTTAATAGTTTCATTGACCATTTTCACTTGAATGTTAAATTATTCCCAGGAAACGTTCTTTTTAAACAGACACTTGACCTGTGTGTGCTTTAGAATCGTATAGAATTTTTCCATTTTATTTTTGTAACCAGCCTCCTGACTAAACAGATGTATAGACATATTAGGCAAATACAATTTGCCTCTCCTTATATTCAAAACTCACCTTTTATTATAATTTTTTCAAACTGCTTTGCAGTGGGTAATGTATCCAAACTCAGATTCTCAACCCTGCTATTATAGTGTAAAAACAGCCTAAGACAATAGTCAACAGATGCGTCTGGCTGTGTTCCCATAAACCTTGGTTTGTAAAAACAGGTGGTCCAGGCCCTGGAGAGTCTGTTACTGACTCTTGATTTAGATGATCATATGGCTTTTCTGCTCCAATTCAGGGTTGGAAACCTGGAGCCCATGGATTAACTCTGGCCCAGTGCCTGTTTTTGTTAATAAAGTTTTATTGGAACCTAGCACACATATTTTTTTGTTTTTTAAATACGGCTGTTTTTTGGTCACATTGCATGGCATGTGGAACTTCCCCAACCAGGGATGGAACCCGTGCCCCTTGCGGTGGAAGCATGGACTCTTAACCACTGGACCACCAGGGAAGTCCAAAAGTATGACTGCTTTTGAGCTACAATGGTAGAGTTGAGTAATTGCCACAGACACCATGTACATTACATTTTCTGTCTCTTTTTCTTTTTGGCGGTACGCAGGCCTCTCACCGCCGCGGCCTCTCCCGTCGTGGAGCACAGGCTCCGGACGCGCAGGCCCAGGGGCCATGGCTCATGGACCCAGCCGCTCCGCGGCACGTGGGATCCTCCCGGACCGCAGCACGAACCCACGTCCCCTGCATCGGCAGGTGGACTCCCAACCACTGCACCACCAGGGAAGCCCCTCTGTCTCTTTTAACATAGAAATTATGTATGTTTTTAAAAGTTATTAGTTTTATTCTGACACCAGAGATTACAAATAATATACAGCCTTTATTTGTCAAAGTATTACTGTAATTAGTACTTTTATACTCTATGTATACAGAGATCTTACAACACTCATTCATTTACACACCTCATAATTTATATGCTATCATGGTAAATTTTAACTCTTTTTTTAAATTTTTATTTTATTTATTTATTTATTTTTGCCTGCATTGGGTCTTCATTGCTACACGCGGGCTTTCTCTAGTTGCAGCGAGTGGGGGCTACTCTTCCTTGCGGTGTGTGGGCTTCTCACTGCGGTGGCTTCTCTTGTTGCGCAGCACAGGCTCTAGGCGTGTGAGCCCAGTAGTTGTGGCACACGGGCTCACTAGTTGTGGCTCGCGGGCTCTACAGAGCGGGCTCAGTAGTTGTGGTGCACAGGCTTAGTTGCTCCGTGGCATGTGGGATCCTCCTGGACCAGGGCTCGAACCTGTGTCCCCTGCAATTGGCAGGTGGATTCTTAACCACTATGCCAGCAGGGAAGTGGTGGTTAACTCTCTATATTTTTAAAACCTCCTGAGATATGATCATTTTCCCAGCTGGTACTAATTTAGACTTAACTGCTTATCTACCAGTTTAGTTCCTTTTCATTCCTTGGTCCTCTGCTTACATTAGAGAACCCTTTCCTTTTGCTTGAAGACATGTGCATTTGCTGTATTACAGGTCTTCTGATGAAGAATTCTCTCTGCTTTTGCCTGAAAAAAATTTTTTTTTTATTGGAGTATAGTTGATTTACAATGTTGTGTTAGTTTCAGGTGTACAGCAAAGTGATTCACTTGTACGTACATATATATCTATTTTTTTCAGATTCTTTTCTCCTACAGTTTATTACAAAATATTGAATATAGTTCCCTGTGCTATACAGTACGTCCTTGTTGGTTATCTGTTTTATATATAGTAGTGTGTATATGATAATCCCAAACTCCTAATTTATCCTTCTCTCCCCCCGACCCCTGAAAATGTTTTTATTTCAGTTTTATTCCTAAAGGATTTTTGGCTGAGTATCCTTTATAGGTTTATGCTTATAATACTATTATCGAGGATCAAGAAGTGGATGGAAATGAGACATTACATGACGGTGCTTCTTATTTGCTTAACATGATGTTCTTCAAATTTGAGTGTGTGAACCCTGGGATGTAAAGAGACTTTTGAAGAGGTACGTGGACGCACGTGGTTTAAAAGAAGAAAAATGTGTATATCCTGTCTGTGTGTGCTTTTTCCTAAAGTCGTTCTACCTGTGGATTTCCCTGCCAATGGGGCATTGTGCTGTGCTTGTTCTCCTTCCCACATCCCCTTTCACAGTCTTACTGCTTCCGCTTTACAAGAGAAAGATGTACCTCCCAAATATTCGGAATGTTATGTTTTATTGGCCCAGATGTAAAAGCTTCGTAATAAAAGGACCAATCGATCTTTGGGGGCCTTAATTTAAGATGAGTGGCCAGCAACACTGACAGCATCTAGGCCGAAAGAGAATGTGCCACTCAGAGTAATTTGCTCTTCAGCCCACAGGTGCTGGCTCCCCAGGAACAAGAGGGATCAAAGGAAAGAAGGAGGAAAAGATTCTGAGACTTAAGTACTGTCAGTTCTGGAGACATCCTTGATTGGAGACTGAGATTTTTGAACAGAAATTTAGAGCTAATCCAGAAGAGCTAAAGACAGCATCCCAGTTTGCAACCATTTCCCAAAGTAAGAAGAAAATGATCCAGGCCCAGGTGACTTTTGGTTTCTTTTATTCTTTCTTTATTCCCCAGTGGCTTTGCCTGTAAAAGTCAGTGCAGTTAAGTAGAAAAGTTTAAATGGATCCTAGCAGGATCTGGAGAAATCTTGGTAAAGTTAGATCAGGAATATATTATTCATAGGATTCATATTCTGTGACTCGCGTTGGGATATAATATGTGAATGTGCAAAATCCTGTGAGTTATATTAGGTGTCAATTTGTGTCTAATGTCTCTGACAGCCATCACAAGAGAGTCATAAGTTACATGATAGGCAGTACTACAAACTGTTTCTACTCCCAGCACTTCTGGCACCAAATGTGTGGGTCTTTCCAGACCAACAGTCACTTCTCCAACACTCTAGATACCAGCTGAGCGTCTACAATTTAATTCAATTCCGACATTAACTACTGCAGTTACTGTCAGTCTCCACAGTTTTAAGGGCTCAATCCCACAGGACTGCCCTCACTTTGGATACCAAGTATTGGCTGCCCACAGTACCCATACTTCTGACTTGGCTGCAAATCGGGGGTTCCCGAAATCCCTTCCTCAGGATCGATAATTTACTGCAACGGTTCACATAACTCAGGAAAAGACTTTGCTTACCTATACTGGTTCATTATGAAGGATACAGCTTGGGAAGAGCCAAATGGAAAGATACTTAGGCAAGATATGAGGGAAGGGACAAGGACCTTCCATGCCCTCTCTAGGAGTGTCACACCCCCAGCACCTAGATGTGTTCACCATCCAGGAAATGCTCTGAGCCCTGTAGTTTAGGGTTTTTTTTTATGGAGGTCTTATTGGGTAGGTGTGGTAGATTAAATCAATGGCCATTGTTGATTGGCTCAGTTTCCAGTCCCTCCCCCCTCCCTGGAGGGCTAGAAGTGGGGCTGAAAGTTCCAACCCTCTAATCACAAGGTTGGTTCCCTGGGCAGCCAACCCCCATCCTGAAACTCTCTAGGGGTCCACCAAGACTCACCTTGCTAGCATAAACTCAGGTATGTTTGAAAGGGACTTGTTATAAATAACACAGAATGCCCCGTACCTCTATTACTTAAAAAACTCCAAGGGTTTAGGAGAAATTGTGTTAGAAACTGGGGCTGAAGACCAAATATATGTTTCTTATTATATCAGATATCATAGGGATCAACTGTGAGGAAAAAGCAGACCAGTTCCTTGAGGGATGTTAATGTTTCATGGCACATGGGTCTCAAGTTTACATAGGACTTTGATGGTTCTCCATAGAGGTGATGTGCTGGGTCCTTAACTGCAGTCCTTGACTGTCCTAACTTCTTTTTTTTAAAATAAATTTAAGTGTTTTTGTTTATTTATTTTTGGCTGTGTTGGGTCTTCGTTGCCATGCACAGGCTTTCTCTAGTTGCAGCGAGTGGGGGCTACTCTTTATTGCGGTGCGTGTGCTTCTCACTGCAGTGGCTTCTCTTGTTGCGGGGCACGGGCTCTAGGGCTTCAGTAGTTGTGGCATGTGGGCTCAGTAGTTGTGGCTTGTGGGCTGTAGAACACAGGCTCAGTAGTTGTGGCACATGGGCTTAGTTGCTCCACAGCATGTGAGATCTTCCCAGACCAGGGATCGAACGTGTGTCCCCTGCATTGGCAGGCATATTCTTAACCACTGTGCTATTGGGGAAGTCCCTGTCCTTTCTTCTTATAAATGTAAAAACGTGTTTCCTACAGCTATTTCCTCATTTCACCTAATATGGTATTAACCCCGCCTAATGATATACACATATATGTGCATTGTCTCTGTCTCTCTCTCTGTCTCTCTCTGTCTCTGTCTCTCTCTGTCTCCCTCTCTCTCTGTCTCCCTCTCTCTCTCTCTCTCTCTCTCTCTCTCTATA